CTCTTCTTCCGGAGCAGCTCCTGGGCTTGCTTGCAGCCTCCAGCCCTGTGTTGTCCCCATGGCACCCTGCACTCCCTGAACACCAGCAACTCTGGCTCCGCTGCCCATCTGTGTGCCAGGAGTGGGGTGAATCCCAGCACAGTGAAACCCAGCCAGCCAGGGAAGGCGGTCATGCCTGCAGCGGTAAGGAATTCATCAAGATCTGTGCTGATAAAGCCATTGCCTTCACGGTGGGAGGTGATGACTGGCAGCAGGAAGCCAGCGGGCAGGCTATCTGTCTGCAAACTCAGCCTCAGGCATCCTCCAACCCACCACGGCCCTTCCTGACCAGCATCAGCAGGGACACAGGAGCCACCTTCCATATGTTCCTAGAGCCATAGTGTAGGTCTTGGGCTGTGTTCACCTCCAGCTGCTTTGGAGGTCTGAGATGATGTGAAACACCCTGTGCAGGCTTGGGATGCCTGAATGCCTTTTGTGCCAGCAAAACGTGGTTATAGGGGGCCATAGAGGACTCTCCCAGCTCCAGGGTCCAGGAGCAGAGCTGGATGGCTGTCCCGGGAGCTGCATCCCTATGGACACTGGACATTGACTCACCAGTCTCATTATGCTGATGGGCAGCGGCCAGGCTGGAGCTGCTTGCAGGAGTCACCCAGGGCTGGCTTAGAAATGTGTCTGTGGCCGGGTCTGGAGCAAGGTGCAGAGGGAGGGTCCTGCAGCATCCCTGTCACCAGCCTCTCCTGGCTCCCGGCAGCACGTTCAGGATGATATTCCCTCCCATACTTCCCATTTTGCCCTTGCCAGCGGCCTTCTCCCAGAGAGCTTCCCCCTGCAAAAGACCAACAAATGAAATCCAAAAGCGCATCAAGGTTTTCATCTGGAGATGCTGGGTCCTTGGAGAGCATCGGGGTGAGCAGGCTGGGCAGGGACCACAGGCTGCCCACCCCGGTGCTCCCGATGCACCAGACTGCAGTAAAAGGTTTTACTGCCCGCTCCTCTAGCCCCTATCAGTCAGCTCTCTGGCTGCAGGGGAGGCAGCCGCCCAGAGCCAGTTTACAGCAGAGCCTTTATTTTTACTTTAAAAGCATCTGGAAATTAAAAATCCCCCTTGGCACGCATCCACTTTGGAGGCAGAGCCAGGCCTGTCATCCGGCCAAGCAGCCCCGCGCTATAGCTGGGTTGGATGGATCCAGCACCGGGATGGTTTTCCAACCTGAGCAGAAGCGGGATGCTGGCTCCCTTCCAGCAGCTCCACAAACTTCCCAGGCCAAGAACTGGTTCAGTCCTCGTGCCATCCCTGTGGTCTTTGTGCCATCCGTGTGACATGGTGCGCCCATCACCGCCAGCTGGGCAGGATGCGCTGGGTCCAGCCCCGTGCTCTTCCCCAGCCCCAGGAAATCTGGCACAAGGTGCTTTGGAAAACGTAAAGAGCAACAGGCTGGTTGGTGCATGCAGGGCTCACCCCAGCTGAATGGGACCAGTGCCAGTCATTGATGTCCACTGTGGGGCGGCTGCAGGTCTGGAAGATCAGCAACAAGCTGTCCCCATGGGGAGGGCACATCGCTGTGGCTGCCTCAGCAGTGACACTACCCAGTGCTGGCTGAACCGGGTGGGACAGTGCTGAGCTTACAGCAGAGCCCTGGGAAGTTCCCTGTGCGCAGTGGTTTGCCCCCACATCCAAGTCATTTCATTGCCATGGCCTTAGAGCCCAAGTGTGATGGGGAAGGGCTGAGCGTCCTGAGGGGTTCAGTCCGGAGAAGGCTCAGGGGGGACCTGATGGCTCCCTCCAACTGCCTGACAGGAGGATGGAGCCAGGAGGGGCTGGGCTCTGCTCCCAAGGAACAAGGGATGGGACAAGAGGAAGCGGCCTCAAGCTGCACCAGGGCAGGTTTAGATGGAGCTGAGGAACAATTCCTGCCCCAGAGGGTGCTCAGGCATTGGAACAGGCTGCCCAGGGCAGGGCTGCAGGCACCGTCCCTGCAAGTGTTCACTCACCGTGGAGACGAGGCCTCAGTGCCATGGGTTAGGGGTGGCCTTGGCAGTGCTGGGAACGGTTGGACTGGAGGAGCTGAAAGGGCTTTTCCAACCCAGCTGATTCCGTGATTCCATGCTCAGCCTCCCATTCCCACCCTGCCCTGTCCCAGCAGCTCCTGCTTCACTTCAGCCCTGTCAGTGCCAGGCACCAGGGGACACAAGCAGAGACTCTTCTCCAATCTCAGCAAAGCTCTTGCAAAGCCCTCCTGCACATCCACAAACCAGGCTTCTCCAGAGGCTCATAGAACTGAAACAACTGTGGTCAGATCCTCATGGCAACGGCAACGCGCCCACCTCCAGCCCAAAGCCCATCTTCCCCACTGGATTTCAAGTCCCTGTTTCAAAGTATGAAAGCACTGGGTCTTTCCAAGGAAAGGATTTCCTGCATTATTCTAACCCTGACAAAACGACGTGCTCTTCTGTGCCCTGGCCTTTGCAGGAACTGAAGTGCTGGGTTGAAATGTTCCCTAAAGAAGGAAGGAAAAGGAAAAGGCAGAGTCAGGACATCAGGATCTTGCACTTCGAAGACACAAGCAACCTCCAGAGCAGGCTGCGCTACCAACTCTGCCTCTAATAATATCTGCCAACTTTGTGAGCAGTGGACATTGTTTAAAGAACCTAATCAAGTTATGTGCTCCTTTTGAAGTCAGACAACTTTGATTTAGCAATGGCTTCAGAGCTTTGAAAAACCCAATCTTTTCTAGTTTGTCTTCCATGATGGCTCCTTACCTGTCTCCCACCATTGAATAAATCATCATAAACACGAACCAGATGCCTAATGCTAACAATAACTTTAGAGAGCCCTGCTTCCCCTAAGATGTATGGGCAATGACTAACACACTTTTAGCCTCCAGACTTAATTTAAAGCATTCTGAAACTGTGCACTGGCGAGATGAAGGCTGCCCCAGACAATAAGTTTTACATTGAGAAAGAACCTCTGGTTTTAGCAGCAGCAAAGTCAAGCTCGTCCTCCCTCAGCCCCGGTGTCAGCCTGCCCTGTGGAACCATGGGTGCGCTTCCATGGTTTCACGTCTGACAACAGAGGAAAAGGAAGAGCTTACAGAAAATCAGGTGTCTGTGTTTGAATGCATGGGAGCATCGGCTTCTGCGGCTTGCGGGGAGCACGCAGCAGCACAGCGCAGCTCCTTGCGGTGGACCTGGCTTTGTGTTCAGCTGCAATGGGACCAGGGACGGTGCTGAGTCTCCTCCACACATGATGCTGTGCCCATCACCTCGGCCTCTGCATCACCAAAGCACTTTGAAACCTGGAACCCCCCGTGCCTGGAGCAGCAGCTCAGGGGGATGTACTGGTGGGAGATGGAGTGATCCTGACCCAGAGACCTCAGCCTGGGGCTGCTCCAGAACTGCTCCATAGGGAATATATTGCTTAACAGAGGAACCCACTTCAATGCATTACTAGTGCAGCTAAACTGGTGTCTGGAGACAGAGCTATGGCAAAGAAACAAAGCTCTGAAAGCTTCCTTCAGTATCTCCTATGCCTGCACGCACTGAGCTGGGTTGATCTTGCCTTTTTATTTGCATATAGCTGACATCCCTTATTGACAAGGTTTGCCATCGTATGCGTTTGAAGCAATAACTAAAAAGGATAGGGGAGAAGGAAGGATGGGAGGAAATCCTTGACCTTCCAAAGTTAGGGAAATTCGTATTGGGTAAAGTCTTCCATGCAGCCGTGCTTTGCCTGGGTGATGCACCAGTGCAGCATGGCACAGAGGGAAGCTCAGTGACACACAGCTTCCTGACACAGAATGAGCTGAAGAGTCATCACTATAAACACACCCATGGGAGGCCCGTGGGGAGCTCAGGGGGGTTATTTCTGCAAGCTGAACTTCGTGGCAGCACCTCTGCTTTGTTGAAGACCTTTGTTTGATGGCTTCCCCAGCGACCAGGTCACACTGAAGCCCAATGCTGTGTTTGCGCCACGGTGAAGATGCCATGTGGAAAACAAAAGCGCTCCAAGAAAACCAGGGAAGATTTTCCAGGAGCTTTGGCTTTTGCATGAAATTTGTGTTCTTTGCATCACAGCTCGGTGAAGCTTCACGGAGTCATGGAATGGTTTGAGAACGGACCTCAAAGCTCACCCAGCTCCAACCCCTGCCACAGGCAGGGACCCCTTCCACTAGAGCAGCTTGCTCCAAGCCCCTGTGTCCAACCTGCCCTTGAACACTGCCAGGGATGGGGCAGCCACAGCTTCTCTGGGCACCCTGTGCCAGCGCCTCAGCACCCTCACAGGGAAGAGCTTCTGCCTAAGAGCTCATCTCAGTCCCCCCTCGGGCAGGTTAAAACCATTCCCCTTGGCCTGTCCCTACAGGCCCTTGTCCCAAGCCCCTCTCCAGGTTTCTTGACTTGTGATATGGGGAACAAGGCAAAGCACAGGGTGGCTTGAGGGGGGTAAAGACTCTGGACCCAGGATCTCCCAGGAAACTTCTGCCACCTGCAAAAGCACTCTTGTCTAACACCAGGAGAGATCTTTGCCAACGCAGACCCCGCCAGCTCTCCAGCCATGCTTGCAGCAATGCCAAATCCACCTCCAGAAGTAGTAGAGAACAAGAACATAAAAGACCACAACTTACGCATTTCAAGCCATGGTTTTGATTATGTAGAATAGCGAACAGAACCTGAAAAGCATCTTTTATAGAAAAAGTTAATTCTGTATGATGCTTTTTCCTTATAAAGGATGATTTACCTGTCTCTGGGGTTATGGGCTTTGTACAACAGAGCACATGTCTGTTCTGGTTCCTTCCAGCTGAGGTACAGATCCCAGGCAAACAGCTGTCCCGTGGTACTGCGGGGTTTTCATGACAAATGGGAATCCTGCACAGGCAGCTTTCATTTCTTCATCCGAAAGCCTCATACATTAGGAGCTGCCAGAGTCCTGTGAACTTTCATATCCATTATGCCATCACCACTCCAAATGCTTTCAAATTAACAAGCAGCCAGATTTCCTTTCGATGACCAAGCAGGAAAATAAAGAGAAAGGACAGGAATTATTACATTACAGAATACCTTCTCCTCCAGCCCACTCAGCAATCACTTTGTAAAGGGATATGAAAGGTTATTTACATTGGGATACATCTAAGGGGATGAAAAAGAGCAAAGGCTCCAGGAAGGGATCACAGCTGTTTCCTTTCTTACCCTTACCACTGAGCAATCCTCCCCATGCTGGGTGTGAGCCGGGGCTGCCACGCTCTGGGACACACTCAGATGGGATCCTGACAAAGTGCAAGGAAGATCAGTGGGAAATGAGCATTTTAAGTAATCTCTTAAACTCGTTATCCATTTAATTCCTCCTTTAGCTCATTCCTTTTCCCCATTCCTGTTTGGGTTTTGGAAAGGGGCCTCTTTGATCCCTGTGCATGGACGAGGGCAGGCACACAGGGAGCAGCCCTTTCTGTAGGAGCAGAGCCGCTGTTGTTGGCAATAACAGTTGCCAGGAAGGACAGCATGAGAAGCAAGACAACAGTGCAAGAGGAGTGTTTTATAGCAGTGCACTGCACAGCTGTCCCACCCTTGCCAACACAGGCTTCCAAAAGCGCTGGGATGCTCAGCAAAAGGCTGGAATCACGGCCTGATGCCTTTTCAGAGTCAGGATCCCAGGCACCCATTCAATGCATCTGGCAAGAAGATTGTACAGCTAAAAATAATGAGGGTGATATTGAAAAATCAGGAAATTCACTTTCATGCCTCACGACTCTGGACCCTGTTAATTGCAACATCTTTTGACTGTGCCTTTTCAAACCCTTATCTGTAGCCCCATCTGCTTGGCAGAGAGAAGGGCAGCACAGGCTTTGCTAAGGTCTTGCAGGGCTCCAAGACCATGGATGGTCACCGATGGGAGATCACAACAAGCCCCGGGATGCCCTGCTCTGACAGTCTGTGTATAAAACCTGTGCGAGTGACTCAATAGCCTCAAGAATTGCCATGGTGAGTAATCCGCTGAGATTTGGTGCTGCCCTCATATACTGCCTTTCGTTCTTTTTTAAGCACCAAAGGCTCACATTTGCTTTGAAAGCGATGTTTAGTCGCAATGTTGTGCGTCTACAAGTCACTTGCATTGGGAGGAGGACATAGCCACCTCCAAAGAAATGCTGCAGCAGCTCTTCTGCTAACCGATGCACTTGAAAAATGGTATATAGAGCAGATGCCAATGCACAGCTCATCTATACCAGTCACAGAGGATGGCTGGTTATGTTCCATGCTGGAAATGCACACTTGTTTCATTTCTCCTTTCACCGAGGACAGGATTCTGTGTTCCTGTGCTTTGTATAACTCCCCCTGCTTTAGCCTTGAAGAACTGGGGCAGGGGAGCTTTTACCAAGGGGGCTCCAGGGGCTGCTTCTGCCTTCTTTATGCCATAGACTCATCCAAAAGGGATTGCCAGGGAGTAGGGTCAGCACCAATTCGTATGTATAAATAGCCATGCAAAAATCAGAACAGAAGCCAGTTTTATTGCCCCTATGCTTCCGGGGCAGACGGAGCAGCTCTGACTTCTTCTGGTGCCTTAAGACAAGACTGTCAGGGCTGTTTCTTGTCATCCCTGTTCCCTAGGTGGCTTTTAGCCTGTGTGAGGAGATCACAGCAGAGGAAGGCACAGAACCCTCCTTCCTCAGCCTCTTGGCTAAACCCCACAGATCTAAACAGGGGTTGGTGCCTCCAGCGAGCCTCAGGGCTCGCATCTCTGACTGCTGTGAACCAAAGACCGTTTACATGAGATCAGCACATGCAGACGTTGCCTTACACTTCATGGCACATGTACTTCGTCTATCGATAACGAGGGGCAACCCATCACTGCCAGCCCGTCAGGGATCTTGTGGTTATTAGGGGATTCTGTTTAATGAACAAAGGGGGGAAGCATGATGGAAGGCATGCAAATGATTAAATGCAAAGATCTGCTGATCTTGTGGGACCACCGCATCTTTAGTAAGTCTCACTCCAAAGGGAAAGGTAGGTCCATTTAACCCCCCTTCTCCAATTAGGATGTCTAAATCAGTGCTGCAGCCCTTTAAAACAGCCAGACCGAAGGAATTGCCATAGAGTCAAGATACAGAGCTCTGTGCCTGACTCTATAACAGGAAAACATGGGGTAATCTCTCTCTCCGGAGAGCTCAGCTGAGCCCTAAAGCATTAAGCAAGAGGGTTTGCCCTACCCAAAGCACCGTTTGTGTGACCTCTCCAGCGATGGCTCTTCTCCACAGGGGGATTCTGCAAAGCTTTTGATAAGTTCATGGGAACACCTCATTGCACAGTGTAAGCATTCCCTTCGCCACCTCCCTGCCCGAAGCACGGGAACCTGCCCAATAAAACACAGCCGGAGGCACAGCGGCTGGGGCTCTTTGGGTACCTGCCCGCATGGAGAAGCCTTCGCTGCTGTGGCTGTTCCAAAGCTGCTCGTGCGAGGAGCGTGGGTTCCTCACCAGGAGATTCCCCATTCCCAGGGAAGGGAGCGCAGGGCAATTAGTCACTGTAAAACAGGCTAACGAGGGTAAGGAGTGAGGGCTTGCCTAGGCCCCAGTGAAACCCAGTGCTTTATGCGACCCAAGATGCTGCTGGAGGAATCTGGTTAATCTTTTACTCTCCTAGTAAATCATTCCTTGAGGCCATCTGTGAAACACGAGACGAGCAGCTCCAACCCAAGATTCCCGCTTAGCAAAGCTTGGCCGGAAAGAAGCTTTCCTGATAAAGTTGATAGCTGGTCCAAGCCCTCATGGTTTCCAGCAGCATTAATCCTGCTGGGGAGATTAGAGAAGCGGCCCTGGAAGGTCCTGAAGTGTGACTGTGCATCTCAGCAAAGGTCAAGGGAAAGGAATAAAGGGGAAAAAGAAGGGGAAAAAGAAAGAGGGAAAAAGAAGGGGGAAAGGGGAAAAACAAGGAAAAAAGAGGGAAAAAAAGGGAAAAGGGGGAAAACAAGGGGAAAGGGGGAAAAACAAGGGGAAAAGGGGAAAACAAGGGGAAAGGGGAAAAACAAGGAAAAATGGGGAAAACAAGGGGAAAGGGGAAAAAACAAGGGAAAAAAGGGGAAAACACAGGGAAAGGGGAAAAACAAGGGGAAAAAGGGAAAAACAAGGGGAAAAAGGGAAAAACAAGGGAAAATGGGGAAACAAGGGGAAAGGGGGAAAAACAAGGAAAAAAGAGGGAAAAAACAAGGGAAAAGGGGGAAAACAAGGGGAAAGTGGGAAAAACAAGGAAAAAAGAGGGAAAAACAAGGAAAAAAGTGGAAAACAAGGGAAAAAGGGAAAAACAAGGGGAAAAAGGGAAAAACAAGGAAAAAAAGAGGGAAAAAACAAGGGAAAAGGGAAAAACAAGGGAAAAAGGGGGAAAAACCAGGGGAAAGGGGGAAAACAAGGGGAAAAGGGGGAAAAACAAGGGAAAAAAGGGGAAAAAGAAGGAAAAAGCAGAAAAAAAAGGGAAAAAGAAAAGGAGAAACCTCAGCGTTTGCTCAGAGGTGCACCTCTTTGCGCTGTCTTTTCCAGCAGCCTCTTGCACACAAGCAGCCCCAGCCCCACTGGGGCAGGAGCATTCCTGGGGCTCAAGGAGAGCATCAGTGCAGAAATCCAGTGCCCCGATGGCCAAGGCTGAGCCATGGTTTTGTTCAAGGAGAGGCACAAACAGCCCTATTCAGCTGAACCCAGACCCCAGACTTCCCTGCTTCGGAAATGCTCATGCCCGGATCAAACGTGTACAGCATGGGATGGTGTCACTCGAGGAATAAGTCATCCAAAGCACCCCCATCAGCATTCCATGCCAGGAGGCTTATTGTGTCCTCCAGCCAGACTGGACTCGGGTCTTTAAGCAGCAGTCACTCTTTCTCCACGGGCATTACTGCCAACCTGGGAATAGAAGAAAGTCCATAGGCAAATACTTCATAGGGCAAAACTAATAGTAAGCAAGAGCTTGCAGGGCTGAACACCTAACCGCAGGCTCCAAGAGCATCACTTACAATCTCCCTCCCCCAGGAATTAGGACAATTCAGTTTTTGATGGCTTTTTTGCTGAGGTCATCTAATTTCTGACCTTTTAGGATCCCTGATTCCCAGGTGGCTCAATGGCTAGGAGGAACAGAGGGTTTCAAAGTGAAAGATGAAATGCCCCACATCCTAGAGCCACACGCGAAGCAAAAACCCATACAGGGGACAAAGTAAGAGGAAAGCAGCATCTGGCTGACCATGACACCACCAGCTTGTTAGCGGTGCTTTTTCTGGGGTGGAGGGAGGTGAGTGAAGGTGAGTAAGACTGGAAGTTTGTTTGGTTTGGGTTTAAAAGTGTTCTCCCTTCCTGCTTATTGACTACACAACTGCTGGAGAACACAGCAGTGATTGTGGCACTGAAAACTGCCTGAGCAGAGCCGCAGAGGGGACAGGTCCCAGCGTGTCAGAGCTCATGCAAGGGGATTTCTGATCTCTAGGGGACAAGGGCCTGCAGGGACAGGCCAAGGGGAATGGCTTTAACCTGCCCGAGGGGAGACTGAGATGAGCTCTTAGGCAGAAGCTCTTCCCTGTGAGGGTGCTGAGGCGCTGGCACAGGGTGCCCAGAATCCCCCATCCCTGGCAGTGCTCAAGGCCAGGTTGGACACAGGGGCTTGGAGCAAGCTGCTCCAGTGGAAGGGGTCCCTGCCCGTGGCAGGGGTTGGAGCTGGAGGAGCATTGAGGTCCCTTCAACCCAAACCAGGCTGGGATCTCCTGTCTCAGCATCAGCTGGACTCTGGGACAGAGGTGTCCCATCAGTCGGGCAGGACTCACGCTGTTGAGCAGAAGCTGCTCTGCTCTCCCAGGCTTGGTGAATCCTCCACCCTCCAAATCGCACCCAGTGAAGGCTGCAGGAGCATCTGTTATAAATCCTCTTTGGGCAAGAGCAGGAAGCACAACGTGGAGCATCCTTTGTGATCTGGGTTGTTCTGGGTTGTTTAGAAAGTAAATGGAGTGAGCCAGAGAGACAGTAATGGTTCGTCCTCCAAGAAAGAAAAGCTTAATTTTACCCTGGGGATCTTGTGTCTGCCATGACCCCTCCGGCAGCCCACAGGAACACAGGAGGCATTAACCAGCAGTGAGGACCGCTTCGGTCTATGAAGTTTCATCTTAGTTCTTAACAGAAATATCCCCTCTCCTGCAATTAACCCTCCCAGAGCCACACCACCTCATCCTCAGTTGCTAATGTGCACCTTCTCCATAGCTTATAGCACTCTCCTTTTCCCATCTAACCAAAACAGGCCTAGGGCTTGTAACCTCTTCACAGAGTTCCCTGAGCTGCAGCTGAGATGCTCAAGGCATGAAGAGCAGGTAACATTCCATGAGTGGCAACCCTGGTGGAGCTGGTTCCAGAAAAGAGAGGGGAGAGGGAAGTGGGAAGAGGATTACCAGGCTCAAACCCATTTGTCCTTTGCTCCTGGTTAATATCTGTTCAGCTAACCAGAAATTGGGATCAACAGCTTGGATTTTTCCATCCAATCTGAGTGAGCCAGCAGTTGGGTTTCATTCAAGTAATTGTTCTAATGAATAATAATGTCTTATTATGACCAGAGGGCTTATTGCTAGAATGTTGTACTAAATTCAATAACCTGGGCTCACCGTACGTTGTCCCTCTTGTGGGAGCTTCAGCTGCTCAAGAAGTAGACTCAGAGTTGCGTGAGCATCCCTAAAACCTTCTCCCCTTAGTTCCAACTTTGGAGAACAAGTTGTTCATCGTCTGCTGAATCCAGCCTTGGAGCAGCTCCAGTGAAAACAAAAGGAGTAACAACAGGAATGGATTAGGCCCGATTGCTTTCACATTGCTCCAACTTGAATTTTCAATTCCAGTGCTAAAGGAGAAGTAAAACAAAAAACCCCAAACCCCAATGTATGGCACAGGGACAGATACACTTCAAAACCTCAGTCTGCCCATGCTGTGGCCTCGTGCCCTTTGGGAAGTGCATCAAGGCGGGCATCCCCAAGCTCACCTATAGATAAACCCCTGCTCTCTTGTGGCAGGAGCACGATAGATTCCTCCTTCTGCCCCTGCCTTGTACCAATGTTTGCACAGAGTGGTGCCCGTGGCAGGGTTGGAATGAGATGATCTTTGAGGACCTTTCCAACCCAAACATTCTGTGACTGTATGAAACCCATCCTGCAGTTCTAAGGCTGGAGGGATATTGACCCTATTGGCGCTCCCTGCCAAGCTGAGACACAAAGGAATCACAGAGTCAAGGACTTCATTTCATAAAGGCACATGAAGATTGAACTGTGTGTGTGTGGTGTACCAGCCCCAGGCAGAGCTGTGCACAGCTCACGAGGGCACCTCCAACCTACAGGCCTGTATTTCATACAATCATAGAATAGTCAGGGTTGGAAAGGACCTTAAGACCATCCAGTTCCAACCCCCCTGTCATAGGCAGGGACACCTCACACTAAACCATGGCACCCAAGGCTTCGTCCAACCTGGTCTTGAACACTGCCAGGGATGGAGCATTCACAACCTCCCTGGGCAACCCATTCCAGTGCCTCACCACCCTCACAGTAAAGAATTTCCTCCTTATATCCAATCTAAACTTCCCCTGTTTAAGTTTTAACCCGTTACCCCTTGTCCTATCACTACAGTCCCTCCCCGGGATCCCTATAGACCCCTTCAGATACTGGAAGCTGCTCTGAGGTCTCCACGCAGCCTTCTCTTCTCCAGGCTGAACAGCCCCAACTTCCTCAGCCTGTCTTCATACAGGAGGTGCTCCAGCCCCTGATCATCTCCTCCTCATCCCTGGTTAAACAGATGTGAGCCAACAGAGAGCAAGCGGAGCAAGGACTGAGATGGAGAACCCCAAGCCCCTCTCTGCCTGTTGAACCTCACTTCCTCTCAGTGCCTGCTGCACCACTCACCCATTAGCTTTGAAGTAAGTTCCTTCTAACCCTGACCTGCTGCTTCCTGCCCAGCTGATGAGCAGAGTGCAGCCGCTTCCTCTGGGCACCCTTTCAGTGGCTGCCACGTGAAGTTAACCCAAGGGAGAGCGTTGTTCTTGTTGTCACTGGAGCTATTCCCAGGCTGTTCCAGAGGGAACAGAATTATCCAGTGATGGAACAACTAAACCACCAGTCAGAAGCCCTAGGTTCAATTCCTAGCTCCTATTAAACCAAGTCACCAGAGGACCTCTGCGCCTCCAAGCCCAGCTTGAATAACACCGATGAGACTCAAAGTTATCCCTCCGCAGATCAGAAACCCACCACACGTCGCAGCAGCACCAAACACTCGGACCAGGTTTGACCCCTGAGCTTTACAAAACCAAGGCCCAGCTCCATCCAGCAGAGAGGGCTGGAAGCGGAGGAGCTCTGCTCAGCTGCTATCTCGCGCCGAAATCACTGCACATTGTTTGCCAGCTTATCAGCAGTGACTTGAATGGTGAATTAGCTCCAGCAAGGCAGCTGGCAGGCTGCTGAGGCACACAATGCCTGCTGAATCTGCACTTCCTGCTGCCGACGTGCGAAGGAGAAGGCAAACTATGAGAGAGCAGAGGAACCGCTCCCAGCGCAGGCGTAACGGGGCCAGCCGCTGCTCCAGGCACCCAACCAGAACCCCCAGCAACAGTGGTGCTCAGCCCGGCACAGGGCTTGCCATGGAGAGATCCCAAAGCAGAGCAGGCTCCCTCATCTTCTCCCACCTCCTTGTTAAGCTGGGTTAGATCACAGTGCTAGAAGGACAGCTGTCAGGCCCAGCACACAGACCAAGGGTGATAGAATTTGGGTTGGAAGGGACCTTAAAACTCATCGAGCTCCAGCCCCTGCCATGGGCAGGGACACCTTGCACTAGAGCAGCTTGCTCCAAGCCCCATCCAACCTGGCCACAGCTCCTCTGGGTGCCCTTACAGGGA